CAGATTAAGGTGGCATTTCTTTGAAATCTGAGTATGATTTCTCTTCTCATCCCAGCACTTGCACAAAAGGCAAATGGAAATGTGTTCGGAAATCAAGGTGTTCCTCAACTTGTAACCTTTATGGAGAAGGCCACATCACCACTTTTGATGGACAGCGTTTTGTGTTTGATGGCAACTGTGAATACATATTAGCTACGGTAACCTGCTTCCTACTGGTCATTTTGGCAGTATCTTAGCATCAAGAAATAGCTTGATTTAAATGACTAATGAAAACATGATAGGATACATCAATAACCAATAGAGCACTTTGGATCTTTAAAGCCACTTAATGATTTTTTGTATAATCTGTTTATTTCAGTGCTTAAGATGAAAATATTTTACTTCTCAAAAAACCAGCTTTTTAATGCAATATTAACCAATTTTAGATTTAATAACGTGTAAATAGTCACTGATATATATGTATTCCGTACCAGACAACTATATATTTTAGGGAAGTGATGTCAGTTTGACAACCAAAGCAGAGGTCATCACCTCCCAAAACAGGCAGAATCACTCAGGACATTTTAAGCTTTCTTTATTTCCTTATGCTTTTATATTTTGAATTGGAAGACTCCAGACACTGAATCTATGGGGGTTTTATGCTTTTTGTTGTTTGGTTTGGTTTTTTTAGGATGGCTGCAGTATTAATAGACCTGTTTCCTCTTTCAAAATTGTTACTGAGAATGTCATCTGTGGGATATCAGGAGTTACATGCTCCAGATCCATCAGCATTTACCTTGGGGTAAGCCCTTCCTTCTCCCATTATCCAGCTGAATAGTTATTTTAAGACCATGTTTACTTTATTTTGGAAGCTTTAACTGTATCTTAGAAGAGATGTCTTCTAAGTGAAATTATGTGCTAAACCTACAGCTTTGGTTTTAGTAGGAAATGCCATAGATTGTTTTTTTTCCAGTTCTCATGTTGTGTTTAATTCTCCAAGGTTCTCACTTATGTAGAAGCCAGAAAATCTTGCATTTTACTTATCAGTGAATTGCTTGATCAAAAGATACCGACTTCCTGCCCCTCCCCACCTCTCTCTGCCAAACTCAGAAAAATAATAGTATAAAATTGAGGAATTCTCATCGTGGGTGATGAGCAAAAGCTATCAAAATTTCTCTGAGTCCAGATAATATCTGAAATTAAAAATATATCCAGATTTTTCCTGAGATATATCTACGAAACTAGACTAATGAGTAGTTATCCTCATTTCTACTGCAATGTGACAGCTTCTGGAACTGTATAAGTTTTACTGTTCTCAGTTTAATTGGACAGTAGTGCCCAGTAGTATCAGCTCGTCTTAGGATCCTTCAGTATCTGACAGAGAGAAAAATATGAAGAGATGAGATTTTATCCCAAGGAGCAAGCACTACGAAAAGTACACATTTGCCACACTGCTGACTAAATACTGGCAGTTCCAGTTGGTCAGTGCTGTGGTGAAAAAGTTTATTTGCTTAGGATTCCGTTTCATAAATGCACTCCAAACAAACCTTCCTTCTGATTATCTAGACATGGAAACACTGCAGTATGACAGGAGTAAAGTTGGCAAAGTGCACACAAAAGTGGGAGATGGCTAAAGGCCTCAGGACAGAGAGCTATAGCCCCTGTTACTTTTTAACTGTCCTTAGAAAAACATGAAAACATACTTCCTCTACTCTATTGGCCATATGTAGATGATGATATTATTTCCACCAAATGTGGAGTGCTAGCACACCTAACAATAACACCTAACAATGACAGATATTTTTGTTTCCTGTGAAGATTTGCATATGCATACAAAATAATTCCAAGGAGGTAAAAAAACCTGTAAAATTGATAACAGAATGTTTTGTGGTGGAAGGGACCTTTAAAGGTCATCTGGTCCAACACCCCTGCAATGAGCGGGCATATCTTCAACCAGATCAGGTTGTTCAGAGAAAGCCCTGTCCAACCTGACATTGAATGTTTTTAGGGATAGGGCATCTACCACCAAGCTTGTCCAGGTTCCTCTGAGTGGCATCCCATCCTTCACATCAGGTGTGTGAACGGCACCACTCAGCTTGGTGTCATCTGCAAATTTGCTGAGAGTGCATTTGATCCCACTATCTGTGTCACTGATGAAGATATTAAACTGTACTGGGGGACACCACTCCTTACTGAGCTCCGTCTGGACTTGGACCTATTGATTACTACCCTCTAGATGTGATCATCCAACCAATCACTTACCCACCAAACAGTCCACCTAAATCTATACCTCTCCAATTTAGAGAGGAGGATGTTCTGGAGGAGGACCCTGTCAAAGGCTTTACTGAAGTCCAGATAAGTGACATCTGTAGCTGTTCCCTTGTCTGCTTATGTAGTCATTCTGCCATAGAAGGCCACTCAGGCAAGATCTGCTCTTGGTGAAGCTGTGCTGATTGTCTCAAATCACCTCCCTGTCCTCTATGTGCCTTAACATAGCTTCTGGGAGGATCTGCTCCATGATCTTTCCAGACACAGTGGTGATGCTGTCAGGTTGGTTCCTCCCAGGGTCCTCCTTTCTACCCTTTTAAAAAATGGGTGCAATGTTTCCCTTTTTTCTGACTGCCAGGACTTTTGAAAAATGAGTGGAAATGTGAAGATAGTCTGTAATAGTATCACAGGTTCTGATCTTTAGCAGTGTGACACAGAGTAAGGAAAATACTGAAACCTGATAAGTTATAATTTCTAGATAAATTTTCTTCCAGAATTTGACAATCATACTGAGAGATGAAACCTTCACTATTTCTGGGGAAAATCCTAGTGTACAATATCATGTGAAAAAGAACGCCCTTCACCTGATGTTTGATATCATTATCCCAGGAAAATACAACATGACCCTTATTTGGAATAAGCACATGAACTTCTTCATCAAGATTTCCAGAGGAACAGAGGTATGGCAGAATAACTTCCTCAGTAAGGTGTCCTTCAATTCAGATTGAACTGCACATTTAATTGCAGTTGCCTTGACTCCCTATGATGGCAAAAGTTCTTCAGAAAAGCTACTAGCAATTCATTTTCGTCTTTATCTCCAAAACAGCAGAGATTTTCACTAGAGCCTGATTTTTAAGTGATTTCTGTACTGCATTCAGGAAATTTTTGAGCTAAATGTTTGTATTCTATAGAACTGCATGGTTGAATTTGATCTCTAAATGATGACAGTTTACAGTTTAGAAGACACATTCCTCCAGTGACGAACAGAACCTCCTGCACAAGAAGCTAAGACTGTCTGACAGAGTATTTGTAGATGACATTCACTCCTAAAGCACAGGAAACCATCAGTAATCAAAAGGGAAGGTGAGTAATTGTAACTTGCTGAACTGACACTGCTGCTTTCATTTATTCTAGGAAACTATATGCGGTTTGTGTGGGAACTATAATGGCAATATGAAGGATGATTTTGAAACTCGAAGCAAGTATGTGGCATCAAATGAATTGGAATTTGTCAATTCTTGGAAAGAGAATCCTCTCTGTGGGGATGTATACTTTGTAGTGGATCCCTGTAGCAAGAACCCTTATCGTAAAGCATGGGCAGAAAAGACATGTTCTGTCATCAATGGCGAGGTTTTTTCTGCCTGTCACAATAAGGTAAGAATTTATTTGCTCCTCCTTTTGCTTACAGGCATGATGTGCATTCTTCCAAAGTGCTCACACTCTCCCAGGCGATTTTCTGTTTCTGAAAGTATTTCAATAAAATACATATAAAATGTTTTATACCTCACATTTATGTTGATTTTCATCCTTTCTTATTTGCACTTCACCAGCCCTTTTATAAGCGCAAAAGCTAAGTGTGGTATTAACTGATTACTAGAACTACGAGTGTGAAAAAGACTTAAGAATCAAAAATTAGTCTGTTGGTGATACCTGATCAATGCACTCTTACTCTTTTGAAACCATTTAGTCTTTGTTATAAAATCAAACTAAAGAAAGTCCTGAAAACTCGTGTTCTCATCAGTAAGTCAACACTGTTACTTCGATGGTCCATTCAAGAACAAGATACCATCAACCCTCCTATTTGTTTTAAGTTGTCCACTTTGTGGAAATGAAAATATCACAAGGGAGCAGGCCTTCTGAAGGGAAATCCCCTATTTTTCGGTGAATCCTCCATTTTCAGGAGGTGAAAACAAGTGAAAAATGGGGATAATGCTGCAGTGTTTATGTATGTACAGAGGCTGTACAGCTGATGAACTTAGATACTTATGCCTAAGTGGATGTGGGGATTTGAGGAGGTTTTTTAGCTAACTATACATAACATGTTCAGTACCAGTATAAATTTAGAAATACATATAAGGCAAAACATCATCAGTTTCTGTTGTTGATGTGGAGATACCTGAGTCTGGCTAAAAAGAGCTGTATGATGTGGGGTTGTAATTGCTTTGACAAGTGTTCAGATGAAATACTAGTTATTCTTAGTGGAACATGTACTGCCTAGCCCAGGAAAAATCATCTTCTCAACAAATTGGCACAAAATAATCTTAGAAGATTCATTCCTTCATTTTCCAATGCAGGTGAATCGGATGCCCTATTATGAGGCCTGTGTTCGAGACTCTTGTGGGTGTGACACTGGAGGGGACTGTGAATGCATGTGTGATGCCATTGCAGTCTATGCCATGGCATGTTTAGAGAAAGGTATCTGCATTGACTGGAGGACCCCTGAGTTCTGTCGTAAGTTCCTTTAAGTTCTCCTTAAACAAGTTTAAGACATTATTATTGTTACTGTGGGTATATTCATATGACAACGGAAGAAAATTATTAATAAGCACCTCAAAGGTTGCATTTTCTCTGTGGGCAAATAGTTGACTTCAGTCACCTAGATTTTGAAATCTGTACTTTTCATTTGTGCTAAATTAAACAAATTATTATAGCTCTTTTTACCATGGAGTAATGAGAGAGAAAATAATGTGGTCACAGAAAGCAAACTGTTTCTTCTGCTGCCACGGTGTAGTGCACTGTCAATTTGCCAGCAGAGAAAGCATGAAATTGTAAAAAAATATATTTCATTTTAGCTATGATGAAAGCACCTTCTGTGTGGATGTCAGGGAAAGGAAGACAGCTGTGTTGGCTGGAACACTGTAAAACAGGAAAAAGATATCAAGGTGTTCCAGAACACTGTGTATAGAAGAAAAAAAAGTATGACCCTCTTATGAGTCAATGCTAGAGTTGTCATCTTTGATGGTTTCTTTTCCACATTTTACTATATTGTGCATTAAAAATTGTCAAAATGCTTGCATACTGCTTTTGCAAAAAAGAAACTGACTTCACTGAGTTAAAATATAAATTTACTTCAGAAACTAATAACTTCAGTGATTTTTTTTTTTTTTTTTTATTAATTTTGTCCTCCCTTTAGTACTTTAAAAATACCATGCCATTAAGTAAAAAAAAAAATCTGATTTCTGTCTTGCTTTTACCTTTTTTAGCTGTCTACTGTGAGTACTACAATTCTCACAAAAGAACAGGAGTTGACAGTGCTTATTCCTCTGACTACAATGATGACAAATGCACCTGGCATTACAGGCCTTGTAATTGCCCAAATCAAAACTACAAATATGTCAACATTGAAGGTAATAAGCTATACTACTCTAAACCAGGAAACAGTAACATAATAATTATTTTCAATGCTGTTTTCTAAATCAGTCATACCACAGTTAAATAATAGTAATCTAATTGATGCTATCTTTGAAGCAGTTTTACTAATCCTTCCCTTACTACTACAGTTTTAAAACACATAATCAACTCAGGAGCTGTACTACAGTTAGCTTTATGTTGAGCTCAGCCTATCTGGAAGAGAAATTCTGACTTGCACCAAATCAAAAGAATACACTGTACTTGGGGATGAAAACATGTGGAGAGAGCAGTTAATATTTTTATTAAACAAATGGATATAGCTGGAGAAACCAAAAAAATTCCTACATAGACAGATGCTCTTTCTGAGGGTGACACTGGAAATACTTACCTGAATAGATGATGTTGCAACTGATACTATTTTTTAATAGCAGAGATGTAATATATTAGGTGATAAATAGAATAAATTAAATGCCTTTTTCTGAGAAATGTAAAACAAACTTCCCTTTCTTCAGGTTGTTACAACTGCTCTCATGATGAATACTTTGACCATGAAGAGAACAGGTGCATGCCATGTGGTAAGCAGCATCTCTTTCTCTACAGTAATTGGAAAATAGTATAGACTCACAGAATATATTTTTCCTAGTACCTCTCAATAAATGAGTGTTCATCTGAGCATAACTTTCTTTCAAAATAATCCCATTACTGCTTGGTAAATAAAGAAATGAAAAGAACTAATTAAAAACAGGATTAGGGTAGGCAATGCTATAATAAAGAAGCTGGATGAACCTGACTGATTTTAGTTAGCAACACTAGACGTTATGTTCATGTATGTGAGTACTTTTCAAAAGGTGGCTCTTTCAGAAAGTGTATTGCTGTTCTGGTCTGTGTGAGGGACAGTACCAGCAAAGCTGTGAGTCTCAGAAATATTTAACTTTTTTCATTGAAAAAGAGAACATTTAGAAGAAGATTAGACTTAGCTAATGGACTCTACTTAGCAAATCTCTTTAAGTTAATTTAAAAAGAAAATCTCTAAAGATTTATTGCCATATCATTTACTTCTGTGAAAACCTATCTTATTAAATAATGTTTTAGATAGACTCAAGCTGCACAGTTTGGATTTGAAAAACTTCAGGAGAATTTTTTTCATGTTACAGAATTCTAACTTGTGTAACCAGAATCTTGGCTGCTGATCTCATTTACATACAAAGCCACATTCCATTACCCCTGAAAAGTGAAGTGCCCTTAAGCATAAAAGTCAAAAGAAAGACATAAAAAACTTACTAGTGTTCATTATTATTTTGAGATGTATTGATTTCTTTGTACTCAAGTCCTTCCGTGTGAATGTTACCACTGAAATATGTAATATTAAACACTTTCAGGAATCCTTCACTAATTAACACAATCCTTTGAATCCAATCTGAAATTTGCCTTATTTGGAATATTTTAATATGCTTTTATTCACAAACTTAACCTGTTCTACCTTTACACAACAGGAGAAGAAAGCACTAGCACCACACTTGAAACATCTTCACCTTCACCAGGTTAGTTTACACAGTTGACCCAACCAATATTTACATACTGATATTATGTCCTGATAAGTGTTTACAAAGTCAGTGATATCTTTTTTTGCATTTTATAGTAGCATCACCAGTTTCACGTGCATAAGATGCAATGATGAAAAATGACCTGGTATCATAATATGCTGGGCTGCATCAAAAGCAGCGTGGCCAGCAGGCCAAGGGAGGTGATTCTGCCCCTCTGCTTTGATTAGAGCCCACCTGGAGTGCTGTGCAGTTCTGTTCCAGACAGTGGAGGGACAGAAAGATGATCAGAGGGCTGTAACACCTCTCCTATGAGGAAGGGCTGAGAGGCCTGGCGTTGTTTGGCCTGGGGAAGACAAGGCTCCAGTGAGACCTCATTGCAGCTTTTCAGTACTTGAACGGGGCTTATAAGAAAGATAGACACAGACTTTTTAGTAGGGCCTGTTGTGATGGGACAAGGGGTAATGGTTTTAAACTAGAAGAGAGTAGATTAAGAGTAGATATAAGGAAGAAATTGTTTATTATGAGGGTGGTAAAACATTGGAAGAGGTTACCCAAAGAGGCTGTAGATGCCACATCCCTGGAAATGTTCAAGAGCAGGTTAGACTGGGCTTTGAGTAACCTGATCTAGTTGAAGATGTCCCTGCTCACTGCAGAGTGACTGATGATATAACACTTCAACAATTTAAGAAGGTCTTCATGGAAATGTATGACTGACTATACCAAATCCCTATAGCCTGATATAGGAAAGGAACCTATATACAATGATCTTAAATTTGTTAGAAATTCCATTAATTTCCTTGAAGACAGATGGTATTGGAAAATATTACACTGTGGGTTGTGTGGATAATAAAATACTATTCCATTTCTGCTGATATGCACAAATATTTAAGCCCAATTCACTTCAAATGAAGAAAAAGGTATAAAGCTTCTGCATGAATACCTGTTTAATGTATTCACTGCACATAATAGCAAAGGAAGCAATGGATAACTGCTCTCAAAAGCTTCATCTAAAAGGCTTCACCTGAAATGTGTTAATAGTAGTTACCACTAATAGTTATAAAAACAGTGTTTATACTTAAAAAAATTCAATTCATATAGGTACATTATAAATAGATAATTGAGGACTATTTCTTATCCTTTCCTTTTGATTTTTTTCTCTTAGTAACAACAGTGCAGCCTAAAGTAACAGGAAGCTCTGCTGCAAGCACCCTACCAACAGTACCTAGTGCTTCTGCAACTGCTGTATCAACTGAGATTACAAATCCAACAATAACTGCAAAAACTACAGTTCCGAGAACTTCACCCATACAACCTTTTGTCACAACGAAGTCAACAACTGGTAGGTTTTTAGCGTTACTGTCTAAAATAAATTACAGTAAGCTCACTCTATACATAAGCTTTCCTTCCTAGGAAAGAATAGCAAACTCATACAACATCCAAGCATTAGACTCCAAATCGTGAGGTAGGCAAAACAGGCTTCCAGAAAGGAGTTTGTAAGCCAGAAATGTTCAGAAGTGTAGATCAAAAGTGCGTGGAAAGATAAAAGATATAGACACTAGGTTAAAAACATAACCAAAAGTCGCTTGTTTGACTCATCTGAGAAGCACATTAGTTCTATAAGCAGTGAGCCAGCCCAGATCCAGTTAGATTTATTAGCTCAGCTTCAGCTTCTTTTCCACAGTTGATTCAGTTATGCAGCCATATTCAAGGAGCAACCAGTCTATTAACTCTGAATAATGTAAGCAAGCCCAAAGCAGAATCACACAGGTATTAGTGTAGCAGCTTTGTCTAGGTTTCTAGAGTCCTGCTCTCAGGAGGATAACTCTGCTAACATAAATTACTTTCTGATTCTATGGCTTATGGAGACTCATTTAGCCTCACACCAACATGCACTTCGGCTAATTAACCATCTTGGACCCTGGCTATCAGGGAAAGCAGAGTTAAAAAGAGGTCCCAAAGGATTCAAAAACTGACATTATGACAGATAATTTGGACACTGAGACAAGGAAGTCCTATAGTATAATGTTACTTAACTTTTTAATATGAATTACAGAAAGCTGAAACTGGGACTGATTTGGAACATAATAGTAGCCAATGAAATTGTGATTTAGGCAAAGCCCATACAGACTGTAGTCAATAAGTGACAACAAAGCTAACTTCTTAGAAAAATTATATTAAGAAAAAAAATCTAGTACAGGAAAAATACAGAAACTGAGAACAAAGACAGACACGAGACAATAGAAAACAAATATAAGTACAGAAATATTTGACAAGCTTTTGAGAACGAGTGCAACAACAATGCTGAAAATAGTCAAAAGATCAAGGTGAAAAAGGGTCTCTAAAATATGGGTATTTTCTTCATAATTTATCTATTTTTAATTATTCTATGAATTGATTACTCACACTGTACTATTTACCTTTACCCCAAAAGAACATACAACATCAATTTCTACCACACTGAACATGACTACAACCATCACTACTCCTTCCATAACTACCACAACAAAGAGAACCATGACCACTATACCAAGGTCTACACCTACTGCCTCATCAACCGCTGCTTCAACAGAGACAGAACAAGTACGGTTCACCTCACCATCCTTCAAGACCACTATCAAAAAGGAAATGACAACCTCCTCATTGCCTACTCAAACCCCGTCTCAGACCATAACTTTCAGTGAGCCTAAACTAACAACAGCAGGTAAAATATAACTTTTGGGTATCTGCCAGATGACACCATCACTCACAAGACATATGTCAATGTATTACTTAGTCAAAAAACCCCAAGCATTCTTACTAGTGGTCTTAACATTGCAAATAGATAGGAAAGGACAAGGATAACTGAAGAAGCATGATTAAAATGAAAATTTGTCTTGCCAATGGAGCAAGCATTTGACATCCAGATATGATCTTAAACCTAACATTTCTCTTCCAACATTTCCTCCAAATTTAGACAAAATCTCTCATGTCTCAAGGCAAGTTCTTGAAAACCCGCAGACCACAGAATATATATTCTCCCTGGCCAATGTAACAAGTACTCCCAACAATAAATATTAAAAGGATTTTTTTTTTTCTGTCTGGCACTCAATATACCAACAAGGACAGTCTCCTCTGAGACTGTACGGCAACATGAATTACTGGGTTAGCAACTGACACCAGAGGTTGGGACGGTGTGTGGTGGGAATTCTGCTGTAGTGGGAGGGCTGGTGTACACTCTCTCCCAGTCCATGTGTCTCCCACAAAGTACTGTTGGGGTGCATACATCTGGGGCTCCTTGTGCCAGCAATTACAGCTTCGTCTAGGAACCTTTCCAGCCATTACTAATATTCATTCTTACTTAACTTACCTTACAGGCAGTGAGGAAACCCAAACAACCACTCTGCACCAACCAGAAGGTAAGAGGGAGTAGACTGATGCCCTTAGCGTAAGGCTCTGCTTCACTTCCCCCAGCTTTTCCAGGTGATATTCTTGCCCAATCTGGAATGCCTGGGAGAGGAAACATGCATATCAAGAGAGACTGTTTTCTGAGGAGCTTCAGAAAAAGGCAGAGGGTGCTGAATTGTCAGAGGGCACACTTCAGGCCCAGTTTTGCCCCATATTTTTTGAGGGGAGATAAGTTGGCCTATTTTTCCCTCTTGCCCAGTAAGACTCAGTGAGGTCTAGTTCTGTCTTTCTTACTCCTACCCCATACTGTGGGGGTTCTGCCTGGGAATTGTCTACCTCCTTTGCCTTCCCTTGCCCTGCCACCTCCAATCAACTTGTGCTTTTCTCTCTGTAGTTGTCACCCACATAAGAACATTGACACAGCCTGTGCAGCATCTTGTCTCTCAGACACAGACCACCCCTGCCACGTCCACCAGCAGCACCTCTGTCCCAAGAGAGACCAGTCCTGCCACCAGCCCAGGAGTTCCACTGGCAAGGACATCTCCAAGCCCGATCTCTTTGCCTGCCACCTCAGCCTCATCTGCTTCTTCCCTCTCCTCAACTGGGTCCTCGACATGGCTGGGAACATCACATCCTGGTAAGGCTCCCTCCTGCCCTTCCTGCTGCTCTGTCTGCTTCTTCCAGATCCCACCATTCTCTATTAGGCAGCCTGTGTCCCACACAGGCCTCAGTTTTAGTATTGTACCCAATTCCCACTGTTAATCCCGTGGGATACCAGCAGGTTATAGGACTGACCAACACATGACCCTGACTGCATCCTCCTCCCTTGCCAATTCTGGAACTGTAGAAGTCACCCAACTTCTCATCAAATCAGCAACCTGTGCTTTCCTCCCAACAGCCTTCACCCATAAAAAGTCAACGGAGCCACACACTGAGCAACCTCTGACCACACAGAAGACCACAGCTGCCACCTCCATCAGCAGCACCTCCAAGACCTCTGTCTCCACAGAGACCAGCCCACCAAGCAGCACAGAACTCCCTCTGACAACAACATCTGCAAATCCCAGCTCTCCACCTGCCCCCAGCAGCCCACTCAGCACCCGGCTGCCATCTGCTCCCACTTCCACAGTTTCCTCCACAGCAGCTCCAAGCACCAGCCCCAGGCCTACACCTACAACCCTGAGGCCCAAGCCCTCTTCCCCCATGACAACTGCTCCACAAGAGTCTCTTGCAGCAGAGTCCTCTGCACCCACCACAGCCAAAACCAGCACAGTGCCATCTCCTGCTCCATCTCCCTCCTCAACTGTGTCCTCAACGTTGCTGAGCTCCTCACAGCCTGGTAAGGTTTCCTGTTACATGTCCTGCTGCTCACAGAATCACAGAATTCTTAGCATTGGAAGGGGCATCTGGACATCATTACTTACCTACCAAGAAGGGGTCTCTTAGTGCAGGTTACACTGCAATTCATTCTGGTGGGTTTTGAATGTCTCCAGAGAGGGAGATTTCACAATCTCCCTGGGGAGCCTGTTCCACTGCTCTGCCACCCTCAACATAATGGAGTTGTTCCTCAGATTGAGTGGAATTTCTTGTGCTTTACTCCATGGCCATTGCTTCTTGTCCAGTCAGTGGGCACCACTGAAAGAGTCTGCCACCATGCTCTTGAAACCTGCCTTTGAGATATTTGTATACAGTGATGAGATCCTCTCTCAGCCTTCTCTTCTGTGGACTCAACAGGTCCAGCTCCCCAAGTCTCTCCACTGATCATCTTTGTATCCCTCCTCTGGACCTCTCCTGCCTGCTTTTCCCAGCTCACTCCATCACTCCCTCCCTTTGTTACTCATTCCATCCCTCTATCCCTCCCTTCTTTCTCTCCTTCCCTGTATCCTTCCATATGAGAACCAGATCTCAGTTGCACATTTCTTTGCATGCTTGGCTATCTATTCCCACTCCCTTTGGCCAGCCTAGTTTCTGGCATAGTCCTGGGCCTGTGCAATAACTCTGCTTGGGGTGGAGCCAGTTTCTGTTCCTAGCAGGGTTCCTGATGCTGTGTTTTAGATGCAGGTCTGAGCCAGTATTGATGGCACACAAGTGCTTTAGAGATTGCCGAGGAGTGCTAGCACAGCATCCAGGCCTTCTCTGTTTCTCCTTCTGCCACTCGGGGAGTGGGCAAGGGGTGGCCATGAGGTCCCTCGAGGACACAGCCAGCATAGCCCAAAGCCAGTGGCCAAAGAGACACTCCATACCACAGAAAGTCACGCTGAGCAGTGCAATGGAGGGGCAGGACACTTTTTCAAAAGTAGCCATTGCTTGGAGACTGGCTGGGCATTGGCCAGCAGAGTGAGGCAGTGAGTGACTGCTTTTGCACCTCGTGAGTGGGTCTTGGTTAATTTTTCCTTTAGTTTCTTCACTTCTAAAAACTGTCTCTCTCTCCAGACACACTTGTGTACCCTTGCTTTGGCCTCTTCACTTCTCCCCCCATGTCTGATGAGGGCAAGTGAGTGGCTGGGTAGGCATATTGCATCCAGCCAGGTCACCCCACACACATTGACCCTGACAGGATCTAAGCAGGAAATGGAGGCTTCAGAAAGGACCCAGAAGCCCAATCTTCCGTGTTGGACAAAAGGTCTCAGTGTGATATGGTGCTGCTTTTCTTACCCAATGTATTAGCCCAAGGCTTCTGCCCACCTCCCTTGTCTTACCCTCTGCCCTCGTCCTCAGCTGACCTGTGCTTTCCTCCCAACAGCCTTCACCCATAAAAAGTCAACCGTGCCACACATTGAGCCAACTCTGACCACGCAGAAGACCACAGCCGCCACCTCCATCAGCAGCACCTCCAAGACCTCTGTTTCAACAGAAACCAGCCCACCAAGCAGCACAGAACTCTCTCTGACATCTGCAAATCCCAGCTCTCCACCTGCCCCCAGCAGCCCACTCAGCACTCGGCTGCCATCTGCTCCCACTTCCACAGTCTATTCCACAGCAGCTCCAAGCACCAGCCCCAGGCCTACACCTACAACCCTGAGGCCCAAGCCCTCATTTCCAATGACAAGTACTCCACAAGAGTCTCCTGCAGCAGAGTCCTCTGCACCCACCACAGCCAAAACCAGCACAGTGCCATCTCCTGCCCCTTCTCCCTCCTCAACTGTGTCTTCAACAATGCTGAGCTCCACACAGCCTGGTAAGGCTCCTCCTACCT